AGAAGTGTATGGGTTTTTAAAGGAAGTGGAAGACTTAATTGGGCTAATGAACCCCTGTCTCCAAGTTCAGCAGCCTTTTCAACTCATTTAAGAAGCCATTTAAGCCCCAGAATATCACCATTTACATTTTTCCAAGTTTCAACCTTTAAAATTCTAAACTTCCCCAAGTCAAATTTTTTTGCAGGTCCCTTGATATTGGACTTAGAGAGGTTCAACTGTACAAGACTATTTGATAGATCCTCAATGCACTAATGATGATCTACATGGAAAACTTACAACAACCTTCATCAACTTTTGAGCATGTAAAACTTCTGTGCTGACTCCAGGACGCATCTTTCACAAAGCGTATCGCATGTGATACGTTTTGGGTGCGGGTACGAATGCCAATGCGACAAAATCCCGCCGTACCCTCGAATTTTCTATTTGTAAAATAAAAATTGATAAAATAATTATTGATGAATCTCATCTGAAATCTGATTTTTTTCGAGTCAACTCCCCATATTTCTGCAGTTTTACCTTAATTGTGTTAAATTTTTTGTCAATTGCTGCATGAGGTTCCATCAGGAAAAAAGAGGTCAATTCCGTGTCGCTGTATTTACTTGTCTTAGATGGTCCTGGTGGAATTCGTGGAAATAAGAATGGGAAATGGGATTAGGCTCGAGTTTTGTTTGTCGTGAGGGCGTTTTGTAGTGACACCTGCCCGTGTCATGCATATGAAGGAGCATAGGGATTCTATTTCCCCGCGAAACTGCGTCACGTCAACCCGGTTCGCACCCCGTGACAGCCCTTGAACCCAATCTGCACCCGGCGGGTGGGGTTCATTCACTGCTGCTCCTCGCCCCGACGCGCAGTCGACGCAATCCGACCTGTTCCGAATTATTTTGCACTATATTTATAAATAACTCCAAAACCTACAGAGTGTGATTTTTATCTTGTTTTCTTTTGAGGCAAAAATTCATGTACAGTGAGACCCTGAGATGTGGACGTAATTGGTGCATCAAGAGTGTCCCAAAGTTGAGTCTTATTTTCCCTTAGACTTACATTATATAATTTTTAATTGGTTTTTTATGGACAAAATACTCACCACAATTCCATGAAAATAAAAATTGTCTCCCTGTTTGAACTGATTTAATCACTATATTTCAACACCATATGGGCATTTGCGGGGAATGGAATACTGATACCTCTGTACCGTGCATAGAAATGTTGGCATTCTCTGTAAAAATAACATTCAAGTGAAAAAGAGAGACTGCAGTCCTTCTATGCTGGTGGTTATTTTTTTTAATTAGCTAAATGGGTGGTAAATTGGTGGGAGAAATGCCCAATAAATTTTCTTACATCATTTTTAGGGTTGGAAATATCTGTTTCTTGTAATTTGGCCTGAAAATTATTTGCAATTTTATTACAAAATGTCCCTATGTTTAGCTAATGTCTTCGTGTTGGGGCTTTTTTCTTAATTTTTTTTCGGAAAGCAAGTGTCCCTATGTCAAATTGTCCGCATGTCAAGGTGTCTGCATGTGGGGGGTCTCACTGTATTTTTTTATGGTGATGGGGAAAGAACAACTGTGGGATCCAAGTTGTTCTTAGAACAAGTTTTGTGAAGCAGAAAGCATTTTTAAACGTCGTCAGTCCCAGTATTTTTTTCAATTGGCATGCACGAAATTTCATTTTGCAGTGTTTATAAACCTTTCGAATATGTATATTTGGTCATTTTTCTTTTGTGGAAAAAATGCAGATATTCATATGGTGATGAGCGGGAAAAAACTGAGGGATCGAAGTTGTTCTTATAACGAGTTTTGTGAAGCAGAAAAAATTTTATAACATCGTCAGTCCGAGTATTTCTTCAATTGAGTGACCGAAACTGCATTTTGCACTATAATTTCTAAACTCTTAAAACCTTCCAATCCTGTATTTTTTGTGGCGAAAATTGCCGTATTTCTATGGTGTTGAGGATAATAAGAACAGCGGGATCGAAGTTATTGCTATTATAACGAGTTTTGTGAAACAGAAAACATTTTATGACGTCGTCAGTCCGAGTAATTATAAAAATGTGATACCCGAAATTTGTTAAATTCGAAAAAAAATTCCTGTGTTTTTCCTTGTACATGATGAAGTGGTAATCATGCGGGTAATTTGTTCGGGTGTAAATGTTTGCCAATTATTTATTTTGCAGACCAAACATGGCGCCAACGAGCAGTTTAAAGGACTCGTTTCTGAAATGGCGCGGATTGTTCGTGGTGCTGGGCGGGTTTTTGATCCACTTGTCTTTGGGCAGTGTCTACTCCTTTGGTGAGTTTTTTTTTTTCAATCGTCAAAAAAGAGTAACGA